GGTGGTGGCACACACCTTTAATCCCAGCACTTGGGAGGCAGAGGCAGGCGGATTTCTGAGTTCGAGGCCAGCCTGGTCTACAGAGTGAGCTCCAGGACAGCCAGGGCTACACAGAGAAATCTTGTCTTGAAAAACCAAAAAAAAAAAAAAAACATACATAGTTGATTATGCAATGGCAATGCACATTTTGAAAAAAGCACACTTGAGAATAGACACAAAGATTAGAGCATTTAACCTGACAGTGTTTAGACTTTAACACAGAACATTCTGGGAGAAAGACTGTTAAGGATATTATTTTTCTTCAGCAGAATAATGAGCCTTTATGCTAAAGATAAATTCACATTACTCTTTACTTCTATGAGGTAATGACACTTACCTTTCATAATACATACTGGCATGGAATAGCTGTTAAAACTTTTAAACATTTTTAGGTCATGAGAGCCACTACCATTGAGATGTTTCCTGTCTATGGCCATACAACCTTGAACACATCCTATCTCATCTGATCTCAGAAGCTGAGCAGGATGAGACCTGATCAGTACTTGGATGGGAAATATGTTTCCTAAGCCTTTTAAAAATGGGCTAAACTATTCCAGTGGCTTCACTGCTGTTACAGGCAAATCAGCTTTCAAATACTGCTTACCAAACTGATGGGACTGATTCTTCATTTTAGTCTTTTCGCTTGACACTTGAAAAAAATCACCATTTTCTACAGCTTGGGGTTTCTGAAAAGTACACCTATTCATTTGCTGGCTTCTGAGTTTGATCTTCTAACTAGTTTATGATAACTTTAGATAATACCATTCCAACAAAGCTTGGCAGTTATGGCAGGCTTGAAAGTATGTTTTAAGTCAGGGCTCAATGTATATATGCAAAGACAGAAGAGCAAGGAACCTAACATAAAACTACTGAAGAACTATAGGACAAAGTACCTTCATGCTCTATATACAAATTCCAAATGATGAAAATAGTGTGACTAGGAGTTGTGACTTGATCAAGAGTATTCAGTTCATTCCCTTGTTTATATTACTTGTGAGTGAGTACCATTACAGAATCCACCCTAAAACTAGCTTTGTTCTTAGTAGTTAAAAGAGAAATGAGAGAGAGAGAGAGAGAGAGAGAGAGAGAGAGAGAGAGAGAGAGAG